ATCACCGCCAGGTTGGGGGCCGGGTCGTCGATAAAGGCTTGTTGGTAACGCGAGCTTTGCAGAAAGCCTGCCAGGGCGTAGTAGTCTTCAGTGGCGATTGGGTCGAACTTGTGATCGTGGCAACGGGCACAAGCGACGGTCACTCCCAGGAATGTCTTCGTGAGCACATCAATCTGATTGTCGATCCGCTCGGCTTCGTCTCCGCGTATGTCGACCGGAGAATGCTTGGCTTCTCCGAGATGGAAGAACCCCGTGCCGAGGATCGACTCGTTAAAGCCTTCCTCGGGATGGCGGCGTGGATGCTCGAGCATATCACCGGCGATGTGCTCGGTGAGGAACTGATCGTAAGGCACGTCGGCATTCAGCGCCCGAATGACATAGTCGCGGTAGCGGAACGCCCCCGGGATGTCGTAGTCGAACTCGTGGCCGTAGGTCTCGGCGAATCGGACCAGGTCGAGCCAATGTCTTCCCCAGCGTTCTCCGTAATGGGGCGACTGGAGCAGACGATCGACCACTTTCTCATACGCTTCGGGAGAAATGTCTGCGACGAAAGCAGCGACATCTTGAGGGGTAGGCGGCAATCCGATGAGGTCGAACGTTACACGACGAATCCATGTCCGCCGGTCAGCCTCGTCGGCAGGGGCCAGCCCTTCTTCTTCGAGCCGAGCCAGGATGAAATGGTCGATTGGCGATCGCGGCCATGCGACGTCTTTAACTTCTGGCAAGGACGGAGCGGCCAACGGGTGAATCGCCCACAGGTCGCGGTCGAGTACTGACTCGTCGGTCTTCGCTGCTTCCGGCTGATCGTGTTGCTGTGGCCAGGGGGCACCGGCATTAACCCATTCGACCAAAGCGGCAACCGCTCCGTCGGGAAGCTTACCATCCGGCGGCATCTGGAAACCATCGGGGCCATACTCTACGGCTTCGATCAGCAGGCTTTTCTTGGGTTGGCCGAGCACGATGGCCGGCCCGTTGTCACCGCCGTTGAGGATTGAAGTTCGGCTGCTGAGGCTGAGTCCACCTTCGTAGTCCTCCGGGCCGTGGCAATCGTGGCAATGTTCGACCAGAAGCGGGCGAATTTCGCGTTCGAAAAATTCAAGCTGCTCAGGGGTGAATTCGGTTTCGCTGCCGGCATTAGGAACTTCGTCGGCCACAGAGACCGTGCAGAACGCGAGCGCGGTGGCTGCGATGATGAACACTAGGGGGCGGTACTTGTTTGCGATCACTCCCAAAACTCCGAGCATGTCGTGGGGTATCGGTCAGGCAGTAAGGCGGGACTCTCAGTATACCGGAAATCCCGAGAGATTGCTCGCAAAAGGGCACGGGTGGGCAGGTCTAAACACTTGGTAGGCAACGAATTGGTGCGAGAGAGCCGGTTGAGTGCCCCTCAGCTCGTTGCATATGGACTTGCACCGCGCTCTTAGTCTTAGGGCCAGGCCGGCTGAGCTGTTCCGGCGGGCCTGATAACCGCTGTTTTCCGCAGACTCTGAATCCTGATGTTTGAGCCGCCGCCATGTCCAGTTTCCAGATGACCGACTCACAACTCGTGCTCGATACGAGCTTGCCTGGCCTGATCGAGAGCACGCTTTCCTGGCAGCGCGAGGCAGCGAGAAGGAAGCCACGGCGGAAACCTGTAACTCGAAGGAGCATTGAACAGCCGGCACCCGTCGCTGCGGAGATTAGTTCCACGGCGGCGGTTGAGCCATCAGTCGGGATCGACTTTGCAGAAGAGATTGCCAATACGGCCAGTCATGCCGTGGGAGTGGCCTTCAGTGTGATGGCGGCAATTGCACTTACGCGATTTGCCTCATCGACCGGCTCGGTGTTTCACATCATCGCGTGTGTGGTCTACGCGAGTTCGGCGATCGCGTTGTACACTGCATCAACCGTCTACCATGCCGTGAGCGACGCCAAACTGAAGCGGCGCTTCCAGCGGCTCGACCATGCGTGCATCTTCCTGTTCATCGCCGGTTCGTACACACCCTACTTGCTTACCGCGTTACGAGGGCCGCTGGGGTGGACTCTGCTGGCAGCCATTTGGACGATGGCGGCCGTGGGCGTGTGGATCAAGTGCGTATCAACGAAGCCGTTCACCACCATGTCGGCCGTGCCCTACGTAGCGATGGGCTGGGTGGTGGTGTTCGCCATCAAGCCGTTGTTGGCCAGCCTACCGATGGTGGCCTTCGTCTGGCTGCTCGCTGGGGGCTTATTCTACACCGGTGGTGTGTATTACTACGCTCGTGACGGCCAACGCTACAATCACTTCATCTGGCACTTGTTCGTGCTGGCGGGAAGTGTCTGTCACTTTCTGTCGATCGTCGCCACGCTGCTGGCCACCGCGCCCTAGGGTAGCGCACTGCTGGGCGAGCCCAGCAGTGGCACCCAAATTTGTGGGCTGGTTGAATTCGAACTACCGCTCGATGCTCCACGTCGGGATGTCTTCGGTGAAGCTGAAGCGGCGATGGAAGTGGGCCAGCTCGATCTCGCGTTGCTGACGGTGGTCATCGCCTTTGAGCACCTGCAGCTTGTTAAGTTCGACACCTTGATCTTGCAGCTTGCTGAGCCAACGGTTTTCGACCACCGAAGGGAACAGCAGGCGACTGAAGTAAGCCCTGATCTCCACCGAATTGAACGGCCGCAGCAGCAGTGCCGCATCGGCCGCATAGCGGCCACGGTTGCTGGAGATCCATGAGGTGGGATCACTGGTCGTCGTCGAGACGGTTTCCGCATCGCACAATCCCAAGACGGTGCGATCGTTACCGCTGTCTCGCAGGCGACGCAATTGATCGACCGCCCAATCGTCGCTGGTCGAATTCCAATGCGGATGGTCGAGCGAGTCGCGGTTCAAGGCCATGCACGACAAGTCGTCGACTACCACAATCGAGCGACGGGCACCTGATGTGCGTTCGGCCGCCTCGACATGTTGAGCCAATGCCTCGGCGGTAGTCGTGGGGCATTCGTCCCGATCGATGATGACGAACCTCGAGCCGAGCTGCGTGAGACGCTCTCGGGCAGCAGCGAGTCGGTCGCGATAGTTTGTGGCGTAGCCGTTTTGGAGCCCGCCCGAGCGAGCCACGGTGTGCCAGTCCAAACCGGCCAAGCGGCAGAGCACGCGGGTCATCACATGCTGCTTCGGTTGATCGAAGGTGAAGCAGCAGAACACGGCATCTTCGTGTTGGATGATCGCGTCGATCCCCAGCTGCACGGCCAGGCTGAGCTTGTCGACTTGGGGGCCACCGGCCAACAGCGTAAGGCCCTTCAGGCCATTCAGGTAACGATCCAAGCTTGGCAAGGTGCGTTGAGCCAGACCCAAGAACGGCTGGTTATAGCGACTGGCCAGCCAAGCCTCGTGTTGGGCAAGATCATCGATGGCGGGGGCGGTGACCACGGGGGTTGGAATCGGGCGCGGAGCGGCCTTGACGGGTTCAATCGGTGCCGGCTGCACGCGGGCTTCGCTCACCGCACTGTCTTCATAGTTAAGCAGATCAACTGCAGGCGTGTGCACCGGCCGCGGAGCTTTGCGTCGCAAGGAGGCCAAACGCGAGGCCAGCGGGAGTTCGCGAATCAGCACCGGCCAGAAGTGCTCATCGAGAGCGACCAATTGCGCTTCGGCCGCTGATGCATCGAACTCAAGTGCTTCAATTAGCGCTGAACGTTGCGTGGCGTCGGTCCAGCCTTCTGGTCCACGATGACGATCGAGCAGCACGCGGGCGTGCAGGTGAAACAGGTGCTCGCGACGTGAGAGCAAGTTGTGTTTCGCCGTGTGCTCGGCTCGCAAAAGCCAGGCATGCCACGTGTCGCAGTCGCCCAGCAGACCGGGTTCGAGAACATAAGCCGTGGGCGATTGAGTAGAACGAACGAGAGCTTCGGCCGCGACATGAAGGCTTTCTTGCACGTCTACTTCGCGATCGACGGCCAGGGTCACGCGTTGCACTCCGTGCCGGGCGAGTCCTTCCCAGCGTTTCACCGTCATGAGCGACGCCCCGCCGGCGATGGCCGCCACGTTGCGGTTGCCGTGACGGTGCAAAGAAACGGCCTCAACCAGACCTTGCACGATGATCAATTCGTTGCTGCCGCCGGCTTCGCGGGTAAGGGCCACGTCGAGGCCGAACACTACCGGGCGAGAACCACCACCCAGGTTGAGATAGCGTCGCCCAAGATGGCTGTCTTCGGTCAATTCTAACGCGAAGAACGTGGTGATGGGGCCTTGGGGATAACGAGCCGGGCCAACGATGCAGTGACTTAGTTGACCATGCACCAGCAACTCTGAATCGTCGATTTCTTCTTGCTCGAAGCCAGCGGCGAGCAGGCGGGCCTGCATATCTTCCGCATGAGTGTAGTAGCCCAAGGGAAGCTGGCGCAGTGATTGGGCGTCGAGTCCGGTAAGTCGCGAGAGGTATGCACGAGCACCTTCGGCGACCGGATCGTCGTCGAGAAGATTCTTGGCAATGCGGTAAAAGCCATCGAGCAGCTTGCGATGAAGATCGGCGTGTTGTCCATTTTTGGCAGCGGTTCGCTCCAAGCGAGCTAGCGGGGAGGTATCCACGCCGGCAAGTTCCGCGAGGTGCCGGACAGCGGCCAAGTACTCAGTGCCGCGGGGTGTACGTCCGCCGTTCACGTAGGCAAGCCATGTCATTTCCGGGCGCCCGCCAATCGAAAACCCGTCGGCGTCGGTGCAAGTTACCAGTTCGTGAGGGCGTCCACCGGCTCGAACGTAGTTGTGTTGGTTGTCGGCCACCCAGCCGCCATCGGTACGTCGCCAGTGGAACTCGGGAAAGGCGAGGTCGAGTTTCTCGATCAACGCCGGTAGGACTTCCCGGTGGTAGAACTCGGTAACGCTGTTCACAACTGCAGTGGCGACAGACATGGCTTTGAATCCCTTCCAAGCAAATGATAGTCGAGGTGGCAGTGTTGGCCTGCCGTGGTGGGTCACTCGCCGTGCGGTGGCGAGACAAGGTGTGATTGAACTCGGGGTAGGTCGCTGGGTAGTTCTTACGGGGTTACGGCTTCCAGATCACCAACATGGCGGTGCTTAAGTCGTTGTGCTTGCGGCCATTCGGCGTACTGTCGTATCGATCGATCACCGAAAGCTTCAGGCTGATATCCATGGGCCCATCGAGGGCGATCTCCCAGCCTGCTTCGGTGTTGATACGGTAGTCGGTAAAGTCCGACCAGTCGGGGTAGTAATCAACATTCGTGCTGAACTTCTGTGCCTCAGTAATGCACCACTCGAAGTCGCCGCCGAAACTGGCTTCCGGGATGTACTCATCATCGGGGCCGCCGTATTCGCGCGACACACCAGAACCGACTCGGCCAGCAACTTCGAGTCGTTCAGTGTCGAAAAACAGATAACTAAGACCAGCGTGGGACGCGAGACGCAAGTCGAACGCACGAAACTGGTCGTATTCCAAGGTGCCGGTAACGAACAGGCTCCAAGGCGACTCACCCAAGGTCCACTCGTTGCGGCCCATCATGAACGCCTGGTTTTCATTTTCTACGCCGTTGTTACGCCCTTGCGAGTACTGCATTTTGAGCGTGAAGACTGTTTCTTCGGTCTTACGTTTGACGTTACCGCCAACCTGCATACTCGAGGCCTCGGTGTTGCCCGTCGCATTGTTCAGGCCAAATTGAAAACCGACATCCCAGTACGGTGGGATAAACCAGGTGCTCGGCTGATACCACACGGCATCCGGCACGGGTTCAGGATCGTCGCCCTCGACTTCTTCGACCGCTTCTTCCTCGGCTGGGGGCTCCGGTTCCTCGACAGGCACTTCTGGAAGCTCTTCCACAGGTGGATCGATGGCTCCAGGAGCGGCGATGGCATCGGCGGGCGGCAGGCGGAAGATCGACCAGTCGAACTCCCCGGGGGCTTCTTCACCGCGAGCGCAGCACGCCGCGGCAGCGATTAGCATTCCAAGCAGAAAAGCAGTCCACCTCAAACGAAGCACCTCTTGCTGGCAGGAGTATCCGGGCGGCGGAACTATCAAAATCTGCGGGAGGATAAAGAATTTCGCTTGAGCCAATCAAGACCAGTCTCTAGTTCCCTGGAGGGATTAAGAAATCGGTGCTCTACCGCGGGTTTGGCTGGTCCAATCGACTGTCACGAAATATGCTGGCAATGCGCGCAGAGGGTTGGGGATGCTCATCGGAGCTTGGTTGCGCTAGCTGTTAGCCGCCATTGAAAGGCAGGCTCTTACGCCGAGTGACAGAGGCGATGTCGCGATCGCCTGGCGGCGGCAGCGAAAGCTGGCACTGCAAAGAGGAGTAGCAATGCAGAGGCGGGCTCGGGAACCACGATGTAAGGGCTGAGGTCAACGGTAGAAAGGGTCTCTTCGACGTATTCGTTTTCCAGCCCAGCCATTTGTAGCAGTTCGTAGTCGCTGAGCGGAGCGATGCCAGCACCGTAGGCCTCGTTGAGGCTAGCGATCACCATGTTGGCGATCACACCATTGCCGAGCACGTTCGGGTGGATCTGATCGCGGAAGAAATGGTGTGGATCGCTGTTCCCTGTGGTGAGGTTGATCGAAACTCCGCCGAGCGAGGCGGTGGTGCCGCCAAGCAGATCTCGCATGGCCGCGGCCGTGTCGAAGTAGGCGATGCCAGATGTTTCAGCGTATCCTCGAATCTGGCGATTGATTTCATCAACCGCGTCGCCAACTCGTTGCTTTTGTTCTGGTGTGGTGATGAGGGAGCGACCGCCTGGGAGCAGCGTGACATCGGCCACGCCAAACAACAAGAAGCCCTCGGGGCCAGCGGATAATACCGTGTCGGTGGCCGTGATGATGTTGTTGGCCCGCTGGTCGAGCCAGTCTTGCAAAGGCTGCCCGGTCAGTAGGCCTGAAGCGATGAGGGCTCCCGTGCCGTTTGCGCCGAAGTCGTTGGTGCCGATGAGAAGTGCCCCGAACGTGACATCCCCGTCGTTGACTAAGGAGGCCAGCTCGGTGTGCTGACCTGACGAGAGCACCGAGGATGTGGTCGCTCCGCCTTGGGCAACGTTGTAAGCGCGACCGGGGCCGAAGTTGAATCCTCGCAACTGTTCGAGAACCGGCACCCAGGAAACTGTGGTGGTGTTGCCGGCGGTGCCGCTATCGCCCATGGCACCAAAGCCGTCGAGTAACCCGGCGTGGGAATTTGCAGAGAACCCAAGGGAGATAATAAAAGCGAGCCCAAGCAGGCGAAGACTCGAGATGCGATTCGACATTGGCGGCTTCCAGGTGTGAGCGTCTAAGGTTGCTACGGGCCCCCGCTAGCTTCCCTATCCAACACCCGAGAAGGTAAATCGGACCGCGAAATGTTGGAAGTTTTTCGGGACGCGATCCGTTACCGCCATAGAAGGATCGCTACGGGACGACATCCGGGTTTGATTTTAAACCAAGAGACTATGGTGTCGAGGAAATCGACCTTAGCTCTTCGCAATCGTGTCGCTGTGGTCGCTGCGGTGCGAAATGAAGATCTTGTGAAGAGGCTTCTGGTGGCGTTTTAGTTCGGGTCGCCGACCAGCACGAAGCTAGCCCAGAAGAAGGGGTGCGCGGCCTCATTGGTCTGTCGCCGACGCTCGATCACTGACAATTGTGCTTCGCGGAGGGCGTCTAACTTCGACTTGCCGGCAGCTAGTTCCTGATAGAAACGCTGCATCAACAGTCGTGTTTCGTTGTCGGGCACTTTGAACAGGCTTGTCACCAGCGCTCTGGCTCCGGCGTGGAAGAATGACCGTCGCAGTCCAAAGACACCCTCTCGGGTCGAAATGTCACCGAGTCCGCTTTCGCAAGCGCTCAGCACGACCATTTCGGTTCCGCTCAGGTCGAGCATGGCGATTTCAGCGGCCGTGACCCAGCCGTCTTCTACATCGGCCGTGGTTTCACCGGTGGAAATGAAGTCGTTGGCCCCCGCCAGCACAATTCCGGAGCGAAGCAGCGGGTCGGTGCTGTTGCGAAGCCGTGAGAAACCAACGGCGGCCGCATAACGATCGTCGGCAGGAGCGGCGCTCGGTTCGAATGACTCCTCTTCATCCCGCAACTTCAAGAAGAAACCGTGGGTGGCTACATGCAAGATGCGGGGCGATTCGACATCTTTGAGCAGTTCTTCCAATGCCGAGTCGCCTACGTGAAGCTCGACGGGACCGTAGCTGGTTGAATCGACGGCTACCCTGACGTCGTCGGCTTCCAGTTCTGCTCCGGCCAGATGTTTCCATCGCATCGAGCGCAAATCGTTCTCACTTCCACGAGAAGCTAGGGCAAACGCCGGGGCTTCCATCTCTCGCAGTTCTTTGGCTTTCGTTGCCCGGTCGGCCAGAAGGAGGTCGTAGTTGGGGCCGGCGAAAACAACCGTACTGCGCCCGGTTTCCTTGAACTCTCGCAGTAAGTCGCGACCGGTCGAGAGGTAACCGATTTGCAGGCTCTCGATCAGGTATCGCCCTTCGTCATCGACCAGCGCGGCAAAGGGCACCATGTGCAATGCCCGATCGGGGGCCAGCATGAGTGTGGTCGAGTCGCCCAGGGCTGCGATGAGCGGTTCGAAAATGGATTGATAAAGTTCGTTGCTGAACTCCGCAAAGGTGGCTTCCAGGCCGCCCTCGCCAATGAGGCGAAGTCCCTGGGGTGTCCGCTCGGTTTCTTCGCGGAGTTGCTCGATCTTTGAGTCAATCGCATCTCCATCGCCCAAGTCGATCATGTGAACCGTGGAGTCATCTCCGGTGAGAACGAATGCAAAGTAATGCTGGCCCGAGAAGAGCGTTGAATTCAGTCGCGTGGGGTCGTAAACCTTGGCCCGAACGAATTCGACGAGAGCCGTATTGGGGGGTAGCTTCTCACGAACCTGATCGGCGTTGGGAAGCTCGACGACCTGGGTTGAGCGTCGGCTTTGCAATGTTCGACGCAGACGAGCCTCGACCTGTTGGGCTTCTTGTTCCAGCGGTTGCTGCAGGTCTTTGATTTCTTCCTGCGAAGTCCCCGCCGGTGGGTTTAGCGCCAGGTCGGCGATCTCCTGCCGTAGTTCACGAAGACGACTGGCTTGGCGGGCAATGTCTGGCTCCAGGTCGAAAGCATCTTCTACGGCCCGCAGGCGGCACATCGTGTCGAGCACCGCGGCTTTGCGTCGCAATGTCCAGTCGAATGCTTTGCGAACCGCCTCATCATTCGTCGGCACTGCCGCTGCCATGGCGATCATGTGGTCGAGCTTAGAAGACTGGGCCTGATGACTCGCCTGGATGTCGCGTTCCGTGAGGGTGCTTAATCGCTCGGTAATCTTTTGATCGGTTTGCAGGCTCCGATCCATGTAGTCAATGGCTTCAGCGACTCGACCCGTGTTGTAATTTAGGATCGAGAGGGCGAATAGCGAATCGGCGACATCACCGAGGTTCTGGTAGGTGTCATTCAACTGTCGTTGTAGAGTTGCCAGGAGAATCGGTTCTGCATCTTCATACTTGCCTTGCTGCAAGTAGGCCTGACCGAGCAGGCTCTGAAGCTCGATGACCTCAGGGTGCTCAATGCCATCCAGTTCGGTGCGAATGTCGATGGCTTGCTCATACAGTGCAACCGCTTCGTTTAACTTGCCGTTGAGGGTATAGAGACTTGCGAGATTCCTCATCGAACTGGCGACGCTGTCCGACCGCTCACCGAAGCGTTTCTTGCGCAATTCCAGAACCTGAAGCATGAGGTCTTCCGCGGGCTCGTAGCGATGCGTATCACTGTAGAGCACAGCAAGGTTGTTCATGCTGGTGAGCGTGTTTCCGTTTTCTTCGCCAAGCGATTCTCGGCGTCGATCGAGCACGTGAGTATAAAGCTCCTCCGCTGCTTCGAAGTCGCGCAGGTAGTGATAAAAGATCGCCATGAGGTTGAGCGATTCGAGGTAGTTGCTGTTCTCCTCGCCCCGCAATTGGCGGAAGACTTCGGAGGCTTCGCGGGCATAGGGTAGGCCCTGGCTGGGGTTGCTGGTCAGATTGCACAAGCTGGCTAGATTCTTCAGGTCCTGGGCATACCATTCGTGGTTCTTGCCGTAGATTTCGGCATCGATCTCCATCGCCAGCAGAAGGTACTCTTCGGCTTTGCTGTACTGCCCTAAGTCTCGGTACAGGTTGCCAATCTTGGTGACGATGAGCGAATAGTCGGGGTGCATTTGCCCCAGGGTGACTTCGCGTGCTTTCAATGCCTCGGCCAACAGCGGTTCGGCATCGGTTCGACGTCCCAAGTCGACCAGCAAATTGCTCAGTTCAATAATGGCAGAGATCGTGTCACGGTGAGAATTTCCCAGTACTTGGCGGTAGAGGTCGCAGCCGCGCTGCATCGACTTGTAGGCTTCCTCGAGTTCGCCCTCGTCGATCTGTTCGCGTGCGTAGTTCATCGCTCCGTCGGCCTGATCGAGGGTGTCGTGTTGCTCTTCCTTAAGCGTGGCGAGCAACTGGACTTCGCTCAATTGAAGTTTGGCATTGGTGAATTGCCAGTCGTTCAACCCGTGCAATTGTTGCTCGACCACGAGCAGTTGACGCCCTGCTTCCAATGCCGAGGCGATATCGTCCCGTTCAACAAAGAGAGGCCCCAGGCGGCGAAGCGTGGTGGCCAGCGTCATCAGCTCCGACTCGATGATTTGGTTGTGGGTTGATACATACTCTTGGCACAGCTCAAGCGAGCGAAGCAGCGTGGTGGTGCCCTGGTCTTCTTGTTCCACGCGATCGTAGAGCTCGGCGATGTCGAGGAATTCGAACGCAGCCGTGGGCGGGTCTTCGCCAGCCATGTGCTCGTAGACTTTGGCCGCGCGATCGAGAAGTTCCTTGGCTTCGGCGAACTTGATCGCGTCGACCAGGACAAACGCATGGTTGTAAAGAATTCTGGCCGTGAACGAGGTGGTTTCCTCGTTGTGGTTCAGCCAGATGTCGAGGGCCTCTTCGAAACACGCGTTGGCCTCGTCGAACTGTTCGGTTGAGGTGTAAATGATGCCGAGTTGGTTCAGCGTGCCGGAGTATTCGGTGTGATCTTTACCGTAGAAGCGTGCATCGATGTCACGGACGCGCTCGATCAATGTGCGGGCTTCCTCCAGGCGATCTTGGAGCCGGTAATTGGTGCCTAGTTGGTAGAGCGAGAGGGATAGGTAGTCTTCATGATCGGGGGAGAGCTTCTCAAAAATGCTTACTGCTTCCTGTAAGACAGGCTCCGCATCGGTGTAGCGTTCGTTGTCGACATACAAGGTACCCAGACTGGTCAGTCGCTCGGCATAGTCGAATGACTCTTCGCCGGCTACTTCGCGAGTGACTTGCAGCGATTCGAGTAAGAGCGGTTCGGCGTGAATGTTGTCGCCAGTGCGAATGTAAAGCGTACCCAGGTCGTACAGCCCTGTGGCATAGGAGGCGAGATCGGAATCTTTGTAGAGTCGATAGTAGTGCAGGGCCTCTTTGAACAGTCGCTCGGCAGCCGCGTAGTCGCCTTGGTCGGTGTTGATGGTGCCTAAGAAGCTGAACGCGTCGGCGTAGTACAGACCATACTGGTAGCCAAAATCGTCTTTGGAACTTTCTTCGTTGGCCAGGCGAGTATAGATCTCCAATGCCCGTTCGAAGAGCGGCTCTGAGCGTTCGTAGTCGTCCAGGTAATAATACAGGCGGCCTTGGTCAGCTAATGCGGTGGCATAGCGGGGGTCGTTGGCACCCAGCACCCGATCAAACACGAGTTCGGCTCCAACGTAGTAGGGCTCGGCTTCTTCGAATCGCGATTCGGCAATCAACAGATCGCCCACTTTCTGGGCCTTCCAGGCGTGCTGGATGTGATTCTTGTCATGAACCTGCTCGACCAACTGCAATGCCTCTTCGGCTTTGGTCAAAGCGGTGGCGTAATCTTGCTCTTCCTGGTCGAGGCGAATCGATTCGTCGTACAACTCATCGGCCTTTTGCAGGATCGCTGACTGGTCAGCCGGCATGGCTTTGCGCTCGACGAGGTCCTGCAGTTCGACATCGAGAGAGGTGACCAGCCAGTGGCGCTTGCCGAGGCGCTCAGCTCGCAAACTGCGAGCTTCTTCCAGGTATTCAATTGCCTGTTTGTAATCCGCCTCGGTCTTGGCAGTGTAGGCCAGTTCTTCCAACGCGCGGGCCAGATTCATCAATGTGATGTCGTA